CACTCTCACACACACACTCACACACTCACTCACACACTCACACACACTCACACTCTCACACACACTATCACTCACACACTCACACACACTCTCACACTCACACACACACACTCACACACGCGCTCTCACACACTCACACACACTCACTCTCACACACACACACACACACACACGCTGCCCGCAGGAATGACCCCAGAGGAGGAAATGTTTTCACCACCAGCCACTGTGAATGCTCCAGGAGCCCAGCCCCAGGCCCACTGGCCTCAGTCCTGGGAGGGAAACCACAGGTTTTCACTTATTCCACGTGGTGGGAGGGGGCAGGGCAGACAGGCGCCACTGAAGCCCCATTGCTCCCCCTTAGACGCCTCGTAGACCCTGGATTACCCAGGAGAGGGGTTTTCCTGAGAAGGGGGGGTGGAAGCAGGAATAAAGGAGGGTGGAGGCTGAGAGAGACCCTTCTAGTCCCACTCTTTCCCTTATCGTCAGGGTGCAGGCACATAGTAGGCCTTCAATAAATGTTCACTGGATGAATGGATGGATGGATGGGTGGATGGATGGATGGATGGAAGGAAGGAAGGATGGGAGGGTAGATGGATGGGTGAATGGGTGATGGATGAATATGTGGGTGGATGAATGGATGGATGGTTAGAGCTTAATGCTGAGAACACTGACCTTGGGAGAAAATGACAAAGCCGTCATGATTCTGAGCTCAGTCATCCAGGCTACTGTTCACCTTTCCCCTACATCCCACACACCTACCCCTCATCCAGCCTTGGCTTCCACACCGCCAGAGATGGCCCATCCCACTGGACTAAGAGGAAACAATTCTTCCTTCAGAACAGCTGAAATGAGCTCCTTCCAGCGTCTAACCTGCTAGTCGCACTTGTGCCTTTGCATCGACCCGGAAGGAATCCCCCCCGCCCCTTCTCCTCCAAAGCTGTGAGGCCCTGGGCTGCTCTTCTCCAAACTCATGCCCTCAGTTTCCTGCGGCACAAGTTATAAAGGGCAGCCCACAAGCTGAATTCAGTCCCCAAACATGTTTTGTTTGGTCAACAGAGTTCTCCTAGAAACACACTGAATGTATGTTTAAACATTTGGGGATATTCACACAAAATCTGGATTTCCCCCTCATCTCATCTTGAAAAAAGACAGCATCTGGCCACGCAGAGTCTGCAGCCCGGCCTGGCTACCCCGGGCAGGAGTTGAGTCATGGCCTCCCGTTTTAGACGGGATGGAGCTGGCAGGGTCAGGCAGTCCTCACAAGGCCCTGTGGTCTCCATGACACTGCAGTCACCATTTGTCATCTTACTTGCACTGGTTTATTTTTTAAAGCAGAGAACTATTTCCCTGTACGTAGATTTCTACCAAAATAGGCAATGAAACATAAACCAAAAAAAAAAGAAAAGAAAAGAAAAGAAAGCCATGAGATTTCTCACTGTGGAAGTAAAGCCTCTTCCTATGACACTTTCCCATCAAAAAACAAAACCTGGCTGGAGACAATTACATGTGTGAATATACATATAACCTATAGGTGGCGCCAGGAGTTCCAGAGAAAAATAAAGCTGGAATGGGGCTAGGTAAATGAGAGAGGGCCATCATGTTAAATAGGGTCTCAGGAGAGGCTTCTCTGAACAGGTGACCCTTGAGATGAGACTTGAATTAAGTGAGGTAGGAGCCATGCAGACACGTAGGGAACAACATTCTCAGGCAAAGGAACAGAATCTGCAAAGGCCTCAAGGTAGGAATGTGCCTGGCTTGTCCAAAAAGACAGCAAGGAGGCCAGTGAGATGACAGATGGGGTCGGGGAAGATCACGCAGGATTCTGTAGGCCAGGGTAAGAACTTTGGATGTGACTCTGAGTGAGGCAAGGGCCCGCATAGGACAAGTTAGAAGGTTTAAGCAGTGGCATCTCAGGGTTTGGGGCCATGTGAACCTGCACCTCCGTTTCAGTATCCCTATCATGCAACCTGCTGATCCCTCTCTATTTCGGGGGCTACAGATGGCGATGAAAAGGCCTTAGGCTGCTAGGCCAGGAGGCAGGAGCTCCAGCCCAGGCCTCAAGCAGGAATCCATTTATCTCTGACCCCCTGCTGTTACCATGGGCCTAAAAAGACCCAGCTGCCACCACTTCGTCCCCACCTCCTCCAGTGCCACAGCTCCCTCTGACTTCTTTGCCCTCACAGGGACACAGGGTGGCAGGAGCCAGGAGACCTCGGAGTTACCCTGTTGTGAACTTTTGCTGAGTGGTTTTAGCTGCCCCTGTCTGGACTTCAGTCTCCCCATCATACAAGGACTGGGTGGACCAGACCAGCATCTCCCAGACCAATTGCAGCCCTTGACGGAGTCGGCACCATTCCAGGGTGAAATGAAAAAGATGCGGACCTCTCACACATCAAGGGCCATGCTCAAGAGGGTAGGCCCTGCCGCCAGCGCTGTCATGATGCTAACTGTGGAACTCTGGGTAAATGCCTTTGGCTCTCCAGACCTCAGTTGTCTCACCTGTCAAATGGGGTTTGTGAAGTACCAGCTTCATAGAGCCACTGTGAGGCCTCAATGCACTAACACAGGCTGAGCCTACATGTATGCACACGTGTGTCACACGTGTGCCTGTGTGCACATGTGTCAGCGAATGCCTGTCCTGTACTCTGAAACTGTGTCCCTCTAATTTTTTTGAGCAGTTGAAGAAGTGTCCTTTCTTTTATGAAATGCTGGTCAGTTAATGGCACCAGCAAAAATCAATGCATTGTCCTTCTCGCCACTCTTTCCCTCGCTCCCTGTGCCCACCCTCCTCCCCGACACCCACCACCACCCCGATCAAATCCTTCAGCAGGTCCCCTCATCTCCAATACCCCCCAAAGTCTCACCATCTCCCTGTCATCTCCTTGGTCCAGGCCACCATTCTTCCTCACCTGGACAACCGCAGCAGCCTCCTAACAAGTCCTGCTTTTCTCTCTTTGCCACACACCTGACCTGTGGCCTAGTCTCGCTCCGGCAGCCAAAAGACCTTTGAAAACTCCAATCACGTTACGCCCCTGCTTAAACCCCCAATGTCACTCATCTTACTTAGAATAAATTGCAAAGCTGGTAAGCCCCCCCCCTTTTTTTATTTTGGCCTGTGTCTCCTTTACAACTCACAGGTCAAACCAGGTAAATATCTGGGGTCCCAGATGCAAAATGTCATCTTGCTTCGAGTGTCCCCAACTGCTCCCCCCACCCTGCCCCACAACCTCATGGTTCCCCAGCCACTATTAACGGCTGACCCAGGTCCAGTGTGCTGGGTTTCACGCAGGAGAGTGGGGGCCACGTGGGCTCACCTGAGCAGGAAGCTGTAGGAGAAATCGAGGAGACCCATCTTATGCCAGCCATTGCCTGCTTCTGTGGTGTCACCCAACAGGACGGTGTGGAGGTTGGCATACATGGCTTCCGTGAGCGCCTGGAGGTCTCTGTGGAGGAGAGACCTGAGGCAGGGAACAGAGGAGTGAGAGTACGGCCTCCCAAGGGAAATACCTGCACACAGGCGCCTCTCTCCTCAAGCCTCAGGGTCCCGGGGCTCCAGCTCCTTGTTGGCAGTGGGAGCCTTTGGGTGATTGGCTTAAACAAGATGGTATTATTATTACTGTCGTCAACAACAGTGACAACCGTCACGACTTATTGTGCTAAGCATAATGATCTCATTTCATCTTTTGACAACCCTAGGAAGAATAGCTGCTATTATGATACCCATTTTACAGACAGAGAAACTCAGGGACATAGAGGAAAGTGACTTGTCCAAGGTCATTCAGCCAGTAAGTGAGACAGCTGGGATTAAAATCTTGATCTGCCCAACTCCAGAGACTGAACTCTTCACCACCGTAGTCTGTCCCTCTTCGGGGCACACAAGCTTAGATACAGAACCCACAGACTTCTGGAAGAGAGAGAACTAAGAGGTCAACCCCTTCTCCTTGAGATCCAAAGTCAGGGAGACCTGTTTGGATAGTTAAAATGTCCCCTCACCAAGGACTGCTAATGAGACATGACCCCAAGTGAATGTGACATGGAATAGGGAATCTTTCTGGTGACCTCGTCATGGTGTGTGCCTAGGAGTCTGAGGAGAGAACCATATTTGGGAGAGTGTGTGGCTGAAGCTAGAAGCCCCTCTGTACTGAGCCTCCACAATACAGTCAACATTGAACCATGACTGAGTGTTTTATTAGACGTCAAGAAAGGTGGGATCTCGTATCTAAGTTTAAGTCCCCTCTACAACCTGTGCAGGGATCTAGACCAGACGGCACCAGGGCAGCAAGTGGATGGACTGTGTCCTTGGGGCGGGGCAGTCCATGTTCAACAGCAACACCTTGTGGCAGCACAAGAAGAACAGTGCTAGTGCACAGATAAGGTGGTCCCCTCCTCGCCACCTGCTGCTGGCTTGGAAATAGGACGGGCCCCTTTAGACTGACTAAATCCCTGGGTTCTTGGATAACCCAAGAGGGGAAGACTTCCAGAGGGGTTCCATGAACTTCCAGGTAATAAAAAGCTTTTGGATGTTCTAGTCGGAACATTGTTGGAATAACAAGAGACATGACCCATGTGAGATGATGTGCGTGAAGGTTTTAATGCAGCACCTGGCACATGGTAAGTGCTCAATAGATGGAAGCTGGCATCGTGATTGGCCCCGATCTGGCTGTCTCCCTGACCCCACTTGGGGCTCCGCTCCTCGACAGACAGTAGCCTTCGACAGATGTGAGAGCCATGCTCAGAAGACATCATGCCAGCTTGTGAGAACTTCCCCAAAACTCGGGAGGGCAGACACTGGAGGAACCTGGGGTCCTCCCTGGGTAGAAGGATAGGATGCAGTGAACTGTGGACTCCTGTTATTAACGGGATCCCGTGATTCCCCTGGAATAGCAGGACCCAGGACGCTCAGCCTCAGATATACTCCTAGCAGCTGTCTCACAAAGCCAAGGTCACAGTGGGCATTGCCTCTCATCAGTGTTCACCTCGTAACGCTGGCCTTTCCTCCACTTCAGCAGTCCTGCAAAACCCAGCCTTCTAGATGCTTGTCTTAACTCCAGGAGGTTACCCTTCCTAGTGACAGATCACTAAAGATTACCATCAGGCTGTGTGATTTTTTTTTTTTGGGGGGGGGCGGGGGGCAGAACAGCCATGGTCATTGGTTACACATGGCTTTCATGCTACAATGACATAGTTGACTCTTTTAAGGAGGGCGCAGCTCACAGAGGCCCACGCAGGGATCGAACCGGCAACCTTGGTGTTATCAGCACCACGCTCTAACCAACTGAGCTAACCAGTCACCCCATAGACTGTGTGACTCTTTAGTGGGGGGATGCAGAATCTCATTTCCTCAGTATCTTGGGTGGAGGACAATGAGCTGTGGAGTCTGCAGACCTGGGTTCAAATCCCAGCTCTGCCACTTAACTAGCACTAGGCCTTGGGTAAGTCACTTCACCTCGCTGAGCCTCAGTTTTCTCACCCGTAAAATGACAATAAAAATACCTACCCCTTGAGGCTATTGCACAGATATGAAGGTGCACCTATCAAACACCTCGCATATGGTAGGTGTCCTCAGATGGTAGTCGTCATCATTCTGTGCCCCCTGCATCTAGGACGGTGACCAGTGTATATCAGGTCCTCAGATGTTTGCTGAATGAATACAGACTAAATGTGCTCACATGTCCTCTTGCTGATAGAAGTATTCCTTATGTTTCAGGACCACTTCCTAGCTGTGTGACCTACGAAAAGTCACTTCTCTTCTCTGAGCGCCAGTGTCCTCATCCGTAAAATGGGGCTGTAAGTTACTTACCTCCCAGCATTGATGTGAAGATTAATGAGATCATGCATGCTGCCTGGCACAGAATATGGACTCAAAAATACTAATCACCTCGCCCACATCCCTTCAATTTACAGAGATGGAAACAGAGGCTCAGAGAGAGGGAGGGACTTGTCCAGTCACAAGGCTAAAAAGGGGCGGAGCTGGGATTTGAATCGAGGTCTGGTTGATCCAAACCCTGGTCTCCTTCTACTAAAATCAGAGCTACCTCCTAAGAACTAAAGCGTTCTTCTTCAGCTCCATTCTTTTGAGTTTTGCTTTTCCTTTAGTTTTTGTTTGTTTTCTCAACACAAAATGTCTTTACTAGACACCTGTTGTGGAGACAAGCACGACCTGAACTACTCAGGCAGAAGCAGAGCGCCCACCCTGCCAACCCACAGGTACCATCTTCGGCCACTCACGGTTTCATCTTGGCCTTTTCATCACTAGGGTTGTAATGTGGAAGCTGAACATCGAAAATCCTCTCCATGAGAAAGACGGCATAGGCGTGGAAATCCAGCTTGGTACGTGGCTCCCACACCACCGAGTCGTACGAATGTGGGTCCAGGAGGACAGTGATGTACCTGCCTCCCACCAGCACCTGGGAAGTTGTCAGGATAGCGTGAGGAGTGCCACGATGAACCACAGCTGCTCTCAGCGGTCAAGGGCTTACCCTGTGCCAGGCACTGGCCCCACCAGGTCTTGAATGGACAATTTTCTCTCATCTACCCCTCACAGCCACCCTGTGAGGTAGGGCCCATCATTCAGCCATCTATGGCTGAAAAGTGAGGCTTAGAGAAGTCACGTAATGTGCCCAAGATCTCACACAGCTGAGAAGTGGCAGACCCAGTACTGGAAGTCTGCACTTTTCTGAACCAAAGTTTGTGCTCTTAACCACCTTAAGCACCTGCCATGGTTATCTTGGTTATTGTCATATCTCTAGAAACTAGGAGAGACTTTGCTTACAGAAGGCAGCAGATGGGTGTGTGCGCATCATAGGTGGGTAGGTGGGTGGGTGGATGGGTGGGTGGGTGGATGGATGGATGGATGGATGTTAGTGGATAAATGCTAGTGGATGTGCAAGCAAAACCTACTTCCTTCGGAGCTTGAGCTCTGTATGCACCAGGCTGCCCCAGAGGAGAAGGAAGCAACATTAGAGAGCTATAACCCTACAGACAACAAGGTAAGGGCATTTCCCCTCAAATGTCTGTGCAGGGGTCACACAATTCTAACTACCCACTGCCTTGGCTCCATTTTCAGTGTGGTCTTTGAGTGGTGTTAATCAAACTCTCAAAAAATAGAGGCCAAGAGTCAAGAGAAAATTTCTACTGGATGGATCGTTAAACGGGTGGATCAATGAAAGGATAGATCACTGAGTGCATCTTGGATGGAAAGATGGATAGATGGGTGGCTAGAGGTTGCCTGGAAAATAGATGTACAGATGAACAGTGAATACATGGATGGCAGGATGTTAAGTGGACATTGGGTAAACAGATTGAAGGACAAATAAATATTGGATGGATAAAAGTTGGAAGGATACATGGAGGGTGGATGGATGAGTGGTGGTTGTTTGAATGGATGTTGAAGGGATGGGTAGATGCAGAGATAATAAATAGATGTTTATTAAATGGATAGATAACTAAATGTTGGGTGGGTAGTGGTAGATGGATGGAAATATGGGTAGGTAAATGGAAGGATGGAAGTTGGTGGAAATTGAATATACAAATGAAAGTTGGATGGATGTTAGGCACATGAGTGGAAGAATACTGAATAAATTTGGGTAGACAGATGGAAGAATAGATGATGGATAAATGGATGGCTAGACAGATGTTGGATAGGTATATAGAAGGACAGATGGATGTGTGGATAGATGGAGGTTTGAGGAAAAGGAATATATGAATGAATGTTGGGTGGATATTAGGATGGAAGCGTGCTGCTTAATACTGGGTAGACCAGCAGAAGGATAGATGTTAGATGGATGGGTGGATTTTGGATAGATGGAAACTAAATGAATGGATAGAGATCAGTTAGATGGGTGTACAAATATGAGATAGATATTGAATGGCTTCATAGCTCAATGTTGGGAAGATGCTAGAGTGAGAATGAAGGGATGGGTTGTAGATAAGCATTGGATGTACAGAACATATATATATATATATATGGATAGAACGTTAGCTGGACCACTGGATGGATGTTGGATGAGTTAGTATATGGATGGATATGGAAGGAATCAGTAAATACCAGGTATGACAGGCCCAGCTGCTCATCCCTTCCCTCCCAAGAGGCACAAAAGTACTTACAGTAAAAATATCACCGTGTTTCTCCTTCATCCTAGTGAGGAAGCTGGCAGCATCTTTTCCAAACTCCAAGGCATAGCCTAACCAGGGGATAATGCCCAGGTCCAGGGGAGGCTCGCCAGGTCGCCTGCAGAAGCCACAGCACTTATCACCAGTTGATAAAGCAGGGAAAAGGATAAAAGTGTGTAGGGCATGGGGTGTGATTTTAAACGGAGAGGGTAGGGGAGGCTCCCCTGAGGAGACATTGGACCAGTGGCCTGAAGGTGATGAGGGCGGGAGCCACACAGGTATCTTGAAGAAGAGCCTTCCAGGCAGAGGGGACAAGCACAAAGTCCCCGAGGTCGGATCAGGCCTGGTGTGTTCAAAGAGCAGTCCAGTGTGGCTGGACTGGAGGGAGCAAGGAAAAGCAGCGGAGGTTGGGGCCAGAGCGGTAATGGGGCCCAGACCACGTAGGGCCTTGTCGGCTGCTGAGAGGACCTTAGCTTTGTCTCTGAGTGAGGTGGGAACCATGGAAGAGTAAGGACATGATTCGGGTTAGGTTTTCATAGGATCCTTTTGGCTGCTGAGTAGAGATTGGGCTCTAGAGGGTTGAGAGCAGACGTTGGAGGACCAGCTGATGGAGGTGGTCATCTCTCCGTGAGTGGGAGAGCTTGCCAGAACCCAGTAGCATATACAGTGTATATAAAAAGTTCACTGCTGAGCCAGCATGGACCAGGGTTTTAGAGTCTCCCATTTCCTGTCATGCCCACAGAGGAAGGATGAGACTGGAATGCACAGTTGGGTGGCAGAGGGTCTCTGACCCCTGACTGCCCCCCACCAGCTCAGAATCTGAAGTATCTCAGGTGGCCAGAGGCCAGGCCCATGGCCTTTGGGGATACCCCAGGGGTGCATGCTAGTTCAGCCAGGGGGTGGGAAGGGTGTGTGTGTGTGTGTGTGTGTGCGCGCGCGTGAGCACGCGTGCGTGCGTGAAATTCAATATCAGCATCATCTGTGGGAGCACAGAGACTCTGAGAACTTAATAACAGTATTTATAGCTCCCTGGAGTAGACAGAACTCTAAGATGACCCACCATAACCTAAACGCTTATATAATCCCCTCCCACTGAGTGGGGGATAAATGGTTCAATGGACTTAAAGATAGAACGATTCTCCTGAGTGGGCCTGGCCTAACCAGGTGGAGACAGGGCTCTTCCTGGCAAAAGAGACCCAAAGCATGAGAGAGATTTGGCATCAGGGAGAGTCTTTGTCGCTGGCTTTGAAGATAGAAGATGCCACATGGCCAGGAGCGCCGGTGGCCTCTAGGAGTTCTGAATAGACCTTGGCTGAATGCACGCAAGGCAATGGGGACCTCAGTCCCACAACCGCAAGGAGCTGCATTCAGCCAGATTCTTCTCTGGAGGTTCCTGACAGGAAGGCAGCCTGGCCTACACCATGGGTTCCGCCTTGTAAGACTCTGAACAGAGAACCCAGCCACACCACCCTTGACTTCTGCCAAAAGGTGAGCTTATCAATGGATGTTGTGTTAAGCTGCTGAGTGGGCAGTAATTTGTTACGCAGCGGGAGATAACACACACAAACTTACATCGCACTTGCACTGGGCCCTGCCCTGGGCCAAGCATTCACCATGTGAACACTCATCTCATCCTAGAGCCCAGCCCTCCACGCTCTGAGGGAAGTACTGTCAGCTAACGAGAACGACATCATGATCACAATATAGGCCTCACACTATTGCAGGGCTGCTGCTCACCGTGAACCCCTTGGAGGCCCCTAAACCTAGGCTAGGACCCCTGGTTTAGTTTTAGAATTATTAGAACCATAGGGATGCAGAAAGCTCCTTGTCTGCTGAGTGAGTGAGTAAGCCATCCCACCGCTCTTTTCACTGGGGACTCATTCACACCTTCACCAAGTATTTACTTGGAAGCAGGTACCGTTCTGGGTACTGGAGACACAGCAGTGAACAGGGCAGAGAAGGTCCCTGCCCTCATGAAGCTGATATGCTAATAAAGAGAGACAGGCAAAACACAAAACAGCAAAGTCTCTTCTGAGAGTGAGAAGTGTGATGAAGAAAATAGAAGAGATGCAACTTGACAATGAGAAGACAAACAACCCGATTTTTAAAAAATGCAAGAAGGATTCGAATGGATATTTCTCCAAACAAGATACACAAATGGCCAGTAAACACACAAAAAGATGCTCAATATCATTAGTCATTAGGGAACTGCAACTCAAAACCACAATGCAGGGCCACTTAACACCCACTAAGATGACCACAAGGAAAAAGAAAAGTGCGGTCAAGAAGGTGGAGAACTTGGAATCCTCATATTTTTCTGGTAGGAATGGAAGATGGTGCAGCTGCTTTGGAAACTAGCTTGGCAGTTCCTTGAAAGGTTAAACAGAGTTACTATATGACGCAGCAATATACCCCAAAGAATTGAAAACATATGCTCACACATAAACTTGTACACTATTGTTCATAGTAGCATTATTCATAATAGCCAAAAAGTGGAACCACCCAAATGTCCATTGACTGATGAATGGATAAACAAAATGTGGTCCACTCATCCTTGGAACGTTATTCAGCCATAACAAGGAATGTGCTAACGCATGCTTCAATGTAGAAGAACCTCAAAAACCATTCTGCTAAGTGAAAGAAGCCAGCCACAAAAAGCCACACATGTTGCATGATCCCAGGTGTATTTCTATGGGATGTCCAGAATACGCAAATCTATGGGAATAGAAAATAGATTAGTGGTTGCCAAGGGCTAAGAGGTGGGGAAAATGGGGGCTGACTTCTAATGGGTACAGGGTTTCTCTTTGGAATGATGAACATATTCTGGAGTTAGATTGGTGGTAATGGTTGCACAACCCTGTGAATATGCTAAAAACCACTGAACTGTGTATTTTTAAAGGGTGAATTTTATAGTATGTGAATTCTATCCCATTAAAGAAAAAGAAAGAAGGGTGATATGAGATAGTGAGGGGGTCTAGTTTAGAGAAGGTGGTCAGGGAGGGCCTCTCTGAGGAGGTACCATGTGGGCAAAGACCTGAAGGACGAGAAGGGAGTACAGTGAAAGAGAGAAGCATTAGAGGCAGGAGGAACAGCATGTGCAAAAGCCCTGATGTGGAAATTCACTGGAGGTTTTTCACGACAGCAGGAGCCGATGGTGCTGGAGTGGAGAATGTGGCGGTGAGAGGTAGGAGATGACATTGGAGATGGCCCATGGGCCATGAGGACCTGAAGGCCAAGGAGAGAGCCTGGCTTGTATGCCAAGTGAGCGGGGGACCCTTTGGAGGGTTCAAAGCGGGAGAGGGAAAGGATGTGGGTATGCTATTAAAAGGTTGCAACTCCTTAAGCTGAGCTGCCGCCCGGATGGCTCAGTGGATAGAGCGTGCGCTCTTAACAACAAGGCTGCTGGTTCAACTCCTACATGGGATGGTGGCTACGCCCACCCGCAACTAAGATTGAACACAGCACCTTGAGCTTAGAGGCCACGAGCTGCTGATGGGCAGCCAGATGGCGACTGGCGCCCTCCACAACGAAGGTTGAAGAGCAACAACTTGGCTGGCCCCCTCCCCAATTCCCCAATTTAAAAAAAAATAAAAAAGGTTGCAACAGAGAGAGAGGCAGGGGGGAGATGTGTCAGGAGACTACCGTGATCACCCAGGACAGCAATAAAGGCGGAAGCGGAGGCCACGGTCCCCAGTGAGCCAGGCCGAGCACCTGACTGCCGCACTTCCAGGGCGGGGGACTTTTGTGTCCCCTCCCCCAGCAGTCTAGGAGAGCACCAACTTCTCTTTGTCCTTCTTTCCCTCTCTCTCCGCCTTCCCCCACCATGGCCTCCTGCTTCTTCAGTCTGGCTGTTCCCCAACATAATCCAAAGGGTAGGACAGGTGGTGAACAGGGAGATTGGACAGGTGGTGAACAGGGAGATTGGCCAGGCTGAGGAACAGGGTTTGGGCAATACGGGAGCAGACCCAGAGAATGAGGTCTGAAGGTACCAGGAAGCGCCTTCCCCAGTGTCCCCCCAACCCCACCGGGCCACACTCTGCCTCTGAGCCCCTCATTGAAGAGACTTGCAAAATTGCAGGTTTGGGATGCTAAGGGGGTGCAGGAACGGTGCCAGGACCCGTCCTTTCCCCTCATCTCTTTGTGAGCTACTGGGTCAAGGCCACTTCCCCCCCGAAGGCTGCATTTAAAGGGAAGGTGTCACACTGGCAGAGCCTGGGGTTAGGCCAGTGTGCACCAGCCCAGAGACAGACAGGACGTGGGAGCGGTGTTTTTTGCACAAGAGGCAGGAGGGCATGGTGGTTATGAGCCCACACTTCCTGGCTTCAAATCCCAGCCATGCTTCTTGCTGGCTGTGCGATCTTGCTGCCCCATGCCTCAGTTTTCTCATCTGAAAAACAGGAGTGACAACACTACCGACCACATCAGGCTGTGATGCAGGTGAAGGACGTTATAGAACAGTAAGTACCTGGCACCTAGTAACTGGGGAGCAGCTGAGTGGGTCTGAGAAACAGGACCAATTAGACTCTCGGGTGCCATTTATTAAGCAACGACGATATGTCAGGCGCTATGCATTTCCCAAAGGTTTCCTTGCTTGGTAATAATGGCTAATACTTAACGAGCCCTGACTGTGTCGCCCTATGAGAAAGGAAATATTACTATCAAGTCCATTTTACAGACGGAAGCACAGAGAGGCTGAGTCGCTTGCCCCAGAACCCACATTGGAAGGACCTGGGTTTCTAATCCAGGCAATTCTGGCTGCAGAGATGCTACCCTGGCCCCAAGTCACCCCAAGCGGACATTTGCACCCCCACTTTGCAGATGAGGAAACTGAGACACAGAGAGGTTTCAGCTACCTGCCCAAATGCAAGGCGAGAGAAATTTTCCCTAAGAAGTATCTGAGGATGGGGGTGTGGCCCGGCTTCCTTTCCCTGTTCTTTATCCCTGCTGCTACAGGAGCTCCCCATCGAGCCAGGTATTATTTCTGGCAACTTTCATCTTTCCCCAGAAAAGTCCCAAAGTGGTGCAGACAAAGGCAGGAAGCTGGGAGCCCAGACATCTGACCTCAGATGTGGCCGCGGCTCCTCCAGCGGGGGGCCCTGAATCCCACTCAGGCCCAGCCTACATTCCAGGGTGACAGTCGTGGCCAGTGGGGGTGAAGGAGGCCCTATTTTGGGGCCTGCGGTCTCTAGCCTCTCCCACTGACACTCTCACTGTTTTGAGGCCCTGCCAGGCCCTGGGGGTGGGGGTGGGGGAGGGGAAGGGATATACAGCTTGGCCCTCATTACTAGCTCCTGCCCACACAGCTGATTGTCGCCTGCACTTCCTGGTTCAGACACCAAGGCACCTTTTCTGATCCTCCCCTTGTGCTTTGATTCCCATCATGTGGGTTCTTCCAAAAACCGCCCATTCCTCCTTCACAGACCCCACCGCCAACCCTACCAGCTGTCCTGCCCCTCTCCACTTGACCCTTTGGAAATCAAGGGAGAGGGTCAAGGATGGATATCACCCACCTTTGGGGTCTCTTAAAGTATCATGCCTTCAATAGATGAAATCTTCATGAGGGCAGGTACCAGTTGTTGGCCCCAGCACTTAGAACAGTGCCTGGCACATAGTAGGTGCTTAGTAAATATGTGTCAGATGAATGAATCATGTACACAGTTGGTGCTCAATGAGCAGCACCTGCCTCCCAGAGTTGCTAAGTGGGTTAAGGGAGCTGGTGCAGGTTAAGCGCCTGACAGATAATCTATGTTCTGGGTTGCCCAGAGCAGAGGCTGCGTCATTTAGCTGTTGGTAGATTGCCTGACTTCTCTGTTCAGTAGTTTCAACTCAGTTCAGGGTCTCAGGCTCCATCAAGCAGGATTTAATAGAGAAACAGAAGGGGGTTGGTTGCTGCCCCGCTGGGTTAGAACAACCTGAGCTTCTCTCGAAATGACTTAACCCATTCTTTCTCCGGGGCTCACTCACAGGGTGTCTGCCACTGACCAAGGGTCTCCTTAACTCTCTTCCACTCCGCCCCCTCTCATGGACTCTCACTGCGTAGAAAAAGCACATGGTCATCTTTCTCTAGTTTTTGTTTCCCTGTTTTTAGAACAGATGCAGATTCAGAGAATTGTTTCTCAACATAAGAAAAAACAGTAGAGCACATATAATGATAATAGAACAGCTACATGTTGGAGAGGCAATAGAGAGTGGTTGCGACTGTGGCAAGGTTTGGAGTGGGCTGTACTACTGAGTCCCAAGCGAGTGTTGCTAGAGCTTCCAATTTTTCACAAGAAGCTGGAAATCCGGAGCTTTGTGTGTAGAATCTCCTAACTCCCTCCCCTCGTGCTATATGGTACACACTGGACCTACCTGGGGCTAAATCCAGCCACGGAGTACCATTTGGTGACCGCTGGTTAGTGCATATTGGAATAAGACAGATTTATTTGTGCCTAGAAATTCAGCCTCCTGCAAGGGCCCAGATCAGCCCTTGAGCCACCAGGAACTCTCACCTGATACCACTTGTGGCTTCTCATCCCCCAGAAAAGGGGCTTCCCACCCAGAAGACCTCTCTCAATCCTCCTGGCAGCAGTCACAGAAACCCAAAGAGATGCACTCAGCCTGGCGAAGTGGCTGGGGCGCGAGAGACCAGCTACGCGAGCCACCTCCGAGTACAGATGGAGAAACTAGGACCAGGAAACCAAGAAGGTTTCTGATGCTGACATGGCAGATCACAGCCTCAATGGACACAGAAGTCAGCTTCCTAACTCCCAGCTCTCCCAGGAGAAAACACTCATAGTTATCAAGCTGGGCTTAAAATTTCTTGCCATAATTGCAGCAATGTGAATTTGGTCTGGGAACTAAATGACATTAAGAATTATTTGATATATTCTCAGGCAAGATAACAGGAGTATGATTGTCATTGTTTTTTGATGTGCATGCTGAGATATTTACTTGTGAGATATGACATCGGTAATTTTTTTTAAATGTTAACAACTGTCAAATCGAGGTGAGGAGAGTTCTTATACCATTCTTTCTATTTTTCTGCATGGTTGAACTTTTTTGTTAGTAATTTTTTTTATTAAAAAAAAAAAAAAGGCCGGCCGACTGGCTCAGTTGGTTAAGAGCTCGCTCAAGAGTTTGAGCTCTGAGCAACAGCGGTTTGAGTCCTGGCCCCTGCTGAGTACCAAGAGGTGGCAGGATGGTTCAGCTAAAAAAAAAAAAATCCAAGCCAGAGGTAAAGATAGAACTGCTGATTAATTGAATTAGTGCTTTTTTCCCTTTTTACTAGGAAAAGCATAAGTTTGGAACAGGACAAATGTGGAATATAATTTCTGTGTGGCCTTAAGGAGTTCGCTTAGCCTTTCTAAGCTGGGCTGTAAGATGGGGTTATGAACATTACCTCCAGGGACGGCCAGGAAAAAGGAATAAGCCGAGAGGGGTGCAGAACCTTGCTTGTTTTGACCCAAACTTTGGATCATCGTCTACATAGCAACAGTGTCATCCACCTCTTTTCCAACACTTAATTATTTGTCCTTCCTTAAGAATCTTCTGGTGGTAGCTGCATCTCTTACTATCTTAGCATCATGTGGTTCTAAGACTTTTGAGCATTCAGATCACAAATATCACGTGTGGGAAGAATGACAATTCGTTTTTCCTGGGAATTAAAGTTTCTTGCAGCCCAGATTTTTAATCCAGGCAGACGCTGGGCAAGCTGCTTGGCTTCTCTGAGCCTCAGTTTCCTCCTCTGTAAAATGGGGGAGAACAAATACTTAAGCTCGGAGGAGAAAATTAAATGGGGGTCC